TAAATCAAATATAAGAAGAAAAGGTTCGTCTATTGTTTAAGTTTTTTTAAGCGGGTTTATATTTCGTTTTTATATCAGAGCTCAAAATTCCGTAAGCTATTTTTCGTATTAGGATGTATCTACATAATTGGGAAAATATGAATCGTATGAATATTGGGTTTTTTTTAAGCGGTTTGTTTTAGTTTTTATAGTGGTACCATTATCTACTAGATACCTACCTAGACGATCACTTATAATTCAATCAAACAAACATAATATTATTCTGTCATTCTGTAGTAAACGTACAGCCCAATAAATGTGTATCGATCGATGTGATGACTTCACGACTTTGCTTTTGTATATTTTGAATACTAAGTCACAGTGAGGTCAAATGGTGGATAATAGCAATCGTGTCAATTGCAAAGAACGTGTATCATAAAATTGTTTAGCCCGCAGGAGGAAAAATAAACATTTTTCTCGATAAACGCGGGTATCTGAATTGTATCTGCTACTGCTATCCTTGACCGATATACATTTAAGATGACCGAAAAGGATACATTATTATATAAAACGTTTAATTTAACATTGTTCAAGGCCAGCACATCTTATTTCCTGTTTTAATTTCGGCATGTGTGACGTAAAGGAGCAAACATTTTTTAATAATAAAATATCTAGTATTTGCTTTTCAAATGTAGAAATAGTTATATGTTGACTTTTTAAATTAACATTAATTTGAGTTTTTCTGGGTGGATTTATGGATCCACGTTTAAAATATTACCCGGGTTATGAAATAAGTTGTAACACAATCATATATCTATTATTCATACTTTATTTTTCAAGTTGTTGCAGTTTTGAAATAAAGTCGATATTATCAAATGCATAAAACATTTAAGAATGATATGCAATATTAATATAATATGACTCTAGTATTTTAAATAAAAATATTGAACTCAAAACACAAAAAGAAACACTTGTATCACTTTAGGTTTTAAGCTACTCTAAGGATAACTTCACTAAATTAAATTAAATTTAAAATTATACAATTACAATGTCTATTATAATTTGATAAACATTTTAATATATTATATTAACAAAATATTACAAAAATACGTAACATGCAATATCTATTAACCTCTTACACATTATCTCAAATAGTACCGACGTTCCGTTTTATTGGGGGGGGGGGGGGTTGCTGACACCAGCTGTACTTGCTGACACAAAGGCTTCCACAGGGTGAAAAAATATTTTCACCATTAAGTGAAAAAACCGAATATATGATGATAGCTGTTTTAATAACGATAGAAAGATCCAGATATCAACATAATTCGTGATATTTTTCATTTACAAATTTAATGACATCTTTTAGAACTTTGTAGAAATATTTTACAGATACTTTAGTCCTATGATACATTTCGTATTACAATTAAACTTAGTCTTCCATACTAATGATATTTTATAAAATGTCAGTAAGAATTTCATGAAATAATCTCTGGTCATTTCTACATGTACAGATTAAGACTAGTAAACAAATAAATGTAATAATAATAGTAATTGTTATGTACGTAATTTTCCGCTCTTCGAAATGGTCAAAACAGTTGTAGACAGAGATCCCTTAAACGTGATCCAGTTCGTTAAATAAATCCTTTTTTGAAAACTACTCATTAAAAATGTTTACATTTAATTAGCAAAAGTTTTCACACTATCAATTGGCCAGTTAATTTAACGGTCATAATTATTAAAATTCATAAATTGTAAATGTATACATATTTATATCACATGTGTATTTAACTCGTAGAGTTGAAACTATACTGCCGATTTTGCTTATATACCACTGTTTTTGTTTTTGTCGTCGTTGTTACTGTTTTTCATTGAATGTAAAAAATTTTTTATGGCACATCATAGTAAAGTTAATACCTTCTCAGCTTCTCATAAAAGCTAAAAATGTCAAAAACGAGTACAATAAAATATTTCTTTCGATTTCTGGGAGATTACAATCCTCTGAGCCTCCACTGGTTGCGCTACTGGGTACTAGAAGATTCACTGAAAATGTTCAAGCGTGTCGTAATTACTTTGTAACGGTATTTCTTTAAGACATTTTGCCGTTCTTTCTTAATGTAATGTTAATAACTCCCAACTTTTTCGAATACTGCCTCGGAGAATATTTTCTGAAAGAAACACTGCTCTGTATGATTTTATATACTAGTCTAAAGTTGTAACCTATAATTTTAAATAAAAATATTATTATGTAAATTAACTGTTGTTAACTTCCAAGCACGGACGTTCTCACGGGGACTAGGGCGGATTAAGACTTGTATGGGCCCCAGGGTGGTACCTTAAGATAGGCCCGCTATAGAAAACATCGCTACCATAAAATAAAATGAAATAAAAAATAGTAAAACTGTAATTAATTACGATTAGGCTAGTAAAAGTCGAGATGGGCTTCTTAAACTCGTGGACCATGGGGTGTTCGCCCCCTTGCTACCCCCTCTTAATCGTGACTTGCACGGGAGTGATAAAGTGGTTAGATTCCGATAAAAATAAATACATAGTAATGATGCATTTTGGAGGGACTAGTAAAAAATTTCTTATGTATATCTACTTCTAAAACGAAACCATGAGAACGGCACTGCTTCCAAGTATGGAATTTTATATAAACATGTTAGTAAAATTAAACATAAAGGTAATCTAGTAGGAGCTGTTAAAAATACTTTACAGATCAATGTAAAAGTTAAATAAAATATTACAATGTATTCCGAACTTGTTTAACTTAAGATGATTACTGATTCAGTGAAAAGTAATTATTGTGTTCTTATTAGGAAAATGATTTATGACGATAAAAATGAGTCCTTCAAAAAATAGTAACTATTCAATTATGTTCATATGTGGACATTGTTTATATTTAATATTAGTTACTGTTATTATGTATCTACGGGTAGATCATAGTTAAACATTTGAATAATAAATCTTATAATTATATTGTTTCAATGTATATTACACAATTAGTTTAAAAATAGATATTTATTTAAACTTGTATCCGCACTTTTTATTTTACAGCTGTCAATCAATATAATTAGCTTTAATTAATTTTTTATAAATATTAATATTTTTAGATTGTAGTGTGGCGAAGTGGATCATTCAGTCACAGCCTTAGTGCTGATATTCAGCTGCGCTATTTTCTATAACTAGCAGCTGTTAGTTACCAAATGGCGGATTATACGGGAAATTTAACAGTGTCCTGTTAAATTTAAAAGTGCCCAGACCTGTCCCCTGACCGATACCTCGGCCATAATGAGGTTGTATCAGATCGACAGACGGTGTAAAATCCTTATCAAATCATAAATGGTTGACTTCAGATAATTGGGATAGAGGCTAAAGAGATGGTGATTATGCTGTATTTCCTTTAGATATAGAAATATAATTTTCTGAAAGTATTTTTGCTATTAACCTAAATATTAGAAATAATTTTTGTTTTATTAAACTTTTATAAAAATGAATAATTTTTGACTGTATAATCAAAATAGATACACTTTTTTTAGATTTAATGTTAGTTACAGTACTATTTAAAACACATAAATAGATGATATAATAAAAATTTTAGGACAAAGCACATTTTTCAAGTTCTATTTGAATATTAACGCACCCTTTTAGGCAATTGTATTACTATCGAGTGATGAGTTAAAATATTCTTTCTTTATTAATACAACGTTTGAAAATAATTTATTTTTCTTTTAATAAGAATTGTTTTACCATATATGTTGTATGTTGTATCTTATATCTTGAAAATATATCACAAATAAGTGGGTCTATTTCGTAAGTTAGCTATACATTTTAATTTGAAAACTTAAGAAATATATCATTTCATAGTTTTGTTATCAAAATACCTTATAATTTCGATAAGTGTGTTTGTTAAAAATTATTAACAAAAGTGAATAACAGTCAATAATTTTTTAACAATTATTTTATTGAAATATTTGTCAAATTTCAATTTTACAATTAACAAAATCACATATCACTTAATTTTATCAACACTAAAAGGATATTTCCTTAATATACTTTTCAGAATAAAATATAATTTATATATTTAACAGTTACAATTTTTTTAATACAAATAAGCCTAGTCCTTTATTAGGTTTTACAATAGTATACCAAAATAAAGAATTAATTAAATGTCACATAATTAAAATCAAAGCATAAAATAAAAGCAAAATTTACAATTAAATATACAACTTATTATTTTGAAATGTATATATTAGCACATAATATGTAAAATAACTAGTAAATAATGATGGTTTATGGATTATAATTTAAATAATAACTCAGAAAAAAAAAATTAAGTTTTGGATTTAATAAAATCATTGCATCAAATGTTTTTGGATGTATCGAAGTTATAATTATACTAATTTAATTATTTTAAACCATGAGCCTGTAGCTATTACAGTGAAGACGGATTCTGCAACGAGTCCGTAATGTCAGCTCATAACTGAAAACGTGGATACATCCGTAAACAATTCAAGCAATACTACAATCCACGAAAGCTTTAACACATTCATAATAAAATTATTATACAAGGTATAATACAATAAAAAAAAAAAAAAAATTGTATAATCCGACTAAAAATACTATAAATGCTCTATAATAAAAATTTTTTAAAAACTATAAATATCACATTTGAAGGTATACACAATCCTTTTTGGCACTAATTTTCACTTAAAAGAGTACAGTGTTAATAATAATTGGAACAACATACAAATATATAATCAGCTAATTACACTGTTATTTTTTTTATCTTTTGACATTATTCAAACATAATCAAATTGTATTAAATTTACCAAAATTATATTTTTTAATTAAAAATTTTTATTTTTAATTGTTAATATGTATTTAATGTGATTTATGGACTATTAAATACTACTTGGAACTTAACTTGGTAAGTTATAAAAGTATTTATTATTTTGCAAACAAAATTATTAGTCATTTCAAAATTGTAAATTATATTATTAAAAACATTTATATGTTAATATTAATTTAAAAATAATAGTATCTAGGAATTATATGTATTATAATATAAATATCATACAAATTTAAACATGTAAATTTGAAAATTATCTTTGTATCATATAAAAAGAATCATTATAACATTATGATGTTATTATATAAAAACTATTTTTCACGTTCCGTAATAAAAACAGTACCTACATTTTTTAAATTTACAAGCGACATTTATTTTTTGAAAAAATATTTTTTTTTATTTATTGTTGTTTTATATAATGTAAAATTTGCTACCAGGGCATAGAATAACACCTGTCCCCTTCAAATGCATTCTTTTAGAATGAATAATTTTTGAAAAAATTTAACAATGGAAATAAAACATTGAAAAAATGTAGTATGCACTTCATTTTTATAAAATAATAAATAACACTTTTCTTTATACAAAATTTAGATAAAAATAATACACTGATAATGAAGGTTATTCAATTAAAAGAGAATAATTTAAAAGTTAAAACACACCAAGCATAGAAGTTATGAGGCGAAACTAATAATTATTCTTCTTGTGTCTGAGGTATCCCCAGTGCAAGAAACTGTCATTTGAGGAACATTCTGCGTTGATGTTTACAGTCTTCTATGGCAAACCTATATTAAACAATAAAATTTTATAGTTTTAAATAATATAAAACTACAGGGATATTAAGTAAAGGTTAGAAGACGATCAAATTTGTATTAAACACAAAGATATATTGTTGTTTTTTAGTCATTCAAAAATATTTTTAAAATTTATTTTTTTAAATATTACTCAAATAATTTCAAATATTCTTTTTTTGGCTGTCTATATGCTGGGATATAACACTTTATGAATATTGATAAAATTATACAGATCATAAATCTTTCTGAATAATTAAATAAATTAAATGAATCCAGAGTATGTTTAATAAGAATTAAAAAGCTTAATGATTATATGAAAGCCAGCTAAACTACTATATAAGAATCATGTATATCTAAGTATATTTTTGAGTGTTAATTTTGATTAAAAATCTTACTTGTACATAAAATAAGCATTAGGAGCAGTAGCAAGGTGCCATAGAGAATGAGCGTCAAATGTCCACAAAATTGGAGGGAAATCTGCTAATTCTAACAGTGATGCTAATGTCATACCAATTACATAAAATATCAAATATTTACCATGACCCATTTTTTTGCGGTTCCATACAGCCCAAATTAGCATAGCTGTTCCAGTAACTGTGCCTAAAAATTAGACAATTTGGTTAAAATAAAAACAACATTTATAACAAATATCTTTTATATAAAATAGCATACCAACTAGTAAATTTGTTGTCATATTATATTTATAATCATATTCTGTAGTGAGTAAGTATAATGAGTGATAAATAAAAGCAAAAGAACAAATTAATGTAAACGTGCTTTTAATAATTGGTTTACTAAATAATAAAATACGATGTCCAATGGTATAAAAAGCAAACAAAACCATTGCATATGCACTGATGTAATCCATAATTTCAGTAAACATGGTATCTCGTCCATGAAATACAGCTGACCAGATCCAACAATTTGCTGACACCTGTTAAGACAAAAAGTACTATGAATTAAATAATATCATCATATTTAATTAAAAAATAGTTAATTCATTAAAAGAACTACAATTTCATTTTATTGTAGAGTAGTGAGAGGCAAATCATTAGAGAGTAAAAGTTTGTAGAACTTTCAAGAAAATTATCAAGGTCAATAGAACTTTTTTATTTCTTAATAATTCTGGTTGCTTGGAGTGAAGTGATTGTTATAATGCATTAATTATTACAAATAATTAATGCATTAATTAATTAAAATACAATAATTAATCATTTACTATTAATTGCTATAATTATTAATTACATTTGGTTTTCAAAAAATATATAAAATATTTTTATAGTAAAACCAATAAGTTATACTTTTGTACTCCTTCTACTTTTTTAAATATTAATTTTTTTTTAGTTTTACATGACATATAAATTTGTTCTATTATAATTTGAGAGAATATTTTGAAAGTAATATGAATTCCTCTTAAATATAACAAATATATTGTAAGTTTTAGCTTAAAATATTTTAATGATCCTAGTTATAATTTTTTTTAAATGACAATTGTGTTATAAACGTATCTCACCACAAGAGGCCAAATAATGAATTTTTGATATTTGGCATTTTAATATAACTCATTTTAGTTTATTATTCTCTGTCTAAATATGTAAGCAACTTGTATAAAATTTGATTTAAACATAATTTAAATGTCTAAAATAAGTAGCGCACAATGTAATGATTATGGAAGATTGATACTTGGTAGCTATTTATCACAACTCTTTTAGATATGGCCCATATCATTTAAACATAATCTCCCCCAAAACAGTGTATTTGATACGCTTAGGTAACCAAAGTGACTTATTATAAAAGGTCCAATGGAAATATTTTTCCCTATCTAATATTAAGAAATAGTTACATATGAAAAAGCCATTACAGTTACATATTTATAAATTTTTGGGGGGTTTGAAATAAATATTGTATTATATATATACCTACTTTATAATTTGGGATGAACCCCAAAATCATCCTGTATACGGGGGACTGTACTATTAGGAAATTTTACTGGTTTATGTAAAACTTAAATGCTATTGCTTTACTATGGAACTAGTAAAAAAATTACTATCATGTAGAAATAGGTAAAATATATTTCATAAGAGTAAATCATACATTAATAAATAATAAATGATTACAGAATTATATGTTTTTAATATTCATTGTGTTACTCTTAGAATATTTATAAATTTATTGTGATTTTTTCATAATTTAGGAAATATTTTAGTTATAATTTTACCAATGTGTAGAGCGACCATATATTGAATGATGGCAAAGTAAAACGTATTTGTTCTCTAAATCTGTTGAACATAAATAAATTTGTGAGCAAGTTCAATATAGAAAATGCTACTGATGCAGGTTCTTGTAAACCAAGGATTCTTTTAAAGGGCCACTGTAACAATAGAAAAGTATTAATTATTTCAAAACTAATCTTTTTTAATTAAAAATATTTAAAAATTACAACCTTTCCGTGAAATTGAGGGACAGGCCAATCACGTTCAACTAAACCTTCTACCATTGGCCACATACAGTCATATTTACAATTTTCTGAACATTTCCATTTGAAAACATCAAAAATAGCACCACAACAATTTCTTTTATACCGTGTACCATCTAAGAAAATGATAATGTTTAGAAACCAAATACTAAGACAAAGTTCTGTAATTACCCTTTTCGCATCTTTTGTCAGTGCATTCTAAAACACAATTTCTATAAGAAGGAAAACTGTCTCCGAGGGAAGTATGTACTTCTACATAATTGAAAGCAAAAATCACCAGTAGAAATAAATGTGTCATATTAAAAAATTGTCGGGGTTTCTGGGCATCACTCGTACTTTATAATAAAAAATTAAATGTAGTAGATATGAATCCTATGATTCATATAATACAATAAAAAAAAACTGCCAAAACATCTCTGGATAGTAATTATACAATATAGAAATATAAACTTTTTGTGAAATACTTTCTTTTTTAATTATTTTAACAATTTCCTTTAGTTGCAGACATTCACAAAAAAGAAGACTGTATTAATAATCAGCTGTTATCTTTATATAATAAGATATTGTTATTGATAAGAAAAACATAACAAGGGGTTGGAAACATATAGTATCCCCTAAATCTACATTAACCAATGGAAACCAATTGTTGAGCCCTCGAAAGTTCTTGTTATATTATCCACTAGATTGGGTTGTCTAAATCAGAGATAAATAGTACATAAACTAAAATCGGACGTTTCAAGTATCACTTTTTAGGATATGTTTTTCAATTTATGAAGTGAAATTAATTGTTTATGTATCCCTGTAATCACCTCAAATTTTGTTTGCTTATAATCATAATTGGTACATTTATTTATTTCGATATAATTAATTATTTTTTCAAAATAATTAATATTGGTACTAATTACAGAACCTTGATAAATATTAGATCAACTAAAAATAGATAACATAGAAAAATAGTTTTTCCCAATTATTTAAGATACACATATAAATTTATATTAAAATTCGAGTATAGCTATAAGTAGTTTTTTTAGCCTTGATGCGAATCTGAGAAGGTATTAGTTTCACTATGATGTATTTTTTTGTGTCGGAATTTTGCAATTTATCAGAAAAACACACACAAGTTCAAGTACATTTTGAACAATTGGAACCATAGCTGGTAACACAAAGTGGCAGCTTTTGATGGTATGGTTTACTGATTAGTTAATATTCCGATGAATAAAATAGATTTTAATAAAGAACTGGAGGTTATAAGAGAAATAGCTAGATTTAATGGATGTACCGAAAACGTAATTTCAAAATTAGTTTGAACACTAAAGTGGAATAAAGAAAGAAGGGCAGCTAGTACAATCACTAGCATGGGGAAACAAAAAGTAATTAGATCACTCAATCTATATTATCTGGGAATCTCAAATGGACTAGTTAGAATTTTTAAGAATTTTGGTATTACTTAAGTAATATCTAAAAGTAATAATTTAAGAGTTTTATTAGGTAACCCAAAAGATAAAGTAGAAGAGAGGGGAAATCGGCATTTATAAAATGCAATGTGAAAGTTGTAATAAATGTTATGTAGGACAAATAAAAAGAAATATAGGGATCAGGTTTAAAGAATACTTAAGAACCATTGAAAACTTGTTTTCGTGGTGAAAATGACTACCGTATTCAAAAATATGCTTATTTTTGTGTTAAAATTCTCGATTTGAAATTTTTGATTTTATATTTCTATAACTTTTTTATATTAAAATATTTTATAAGGGTTTGACATAGTAATGAGGAATATTGGCCAATTTAAGAATACTTGGGGATTTTGTCAATTCGTGAGCAACAAGGTTCTATCGAGGTTATAGATTCTTAGGGGTTCGAACAATAAAGAGAATTAGCTATAAATTAAATAAATGTAGATCCTTTGTGTTGAGTAATAAAAACTAATTAATTGGTAAGCACTTTTAATAAGACGTTGAGGCAACGAGGCGATAATCTTACTCACGAAGACCCACTCCAAATGTCTATTACATACAGTGAGATATACATTAGGTTTTTACACTCTCTTTAGGCATCCGACCTTCGAGACTTTGTAATGTGTAAATGTATAAAGTGTAGTAAACTAGTAAAATTACTAAAGAGAGAAATGATCTACTGCTTTATCGTTCTTTATTCAGATTATTAATTCTAAATAATTGAGATAATATAAATTGATTTACTTTGTATTTGAATTAATACTCGTTAATTTGAAGTCACTTTGAGTGCTGATTCAGTAAGCGTAAAATATCTAATTTAAAAATCTCGCTTAAGAATACCAATATTCACGCTAATAAAGGTATTAAGGATACATTTTGCAATATAATTTTTTAACACAAATGACGGATTTAAAATAAGCACAAAAATTTGCATAGGTCAACACGGGGTTGTTTATAAAAAGGTAAATGAAAGTGTCGAATACTAAAGAATGCAAGATGATATTCAATATAAAATCAAACATCCTATGACTCTCTATTTTTCGTGAGGCCACGGTTAAGACACATGGTTAATAATGATTGAATTGAGATATATATAATTATTAAGATAAAAAATACAGTAATGTAGTATTATGACAGATAAATTATTTGTTTATATACAAGTAATATAAAATGCAGATTATATATTTTTCATTGATAAATGTAAGATGCGTAATGTAAAGTATTGGGCATATCACGACAATAGTGATAATTTTATCTTGTTTCCTAAATAATAATGATTTATGTTGATTTTTTAATGATGTATTCAGTTAAAAAAAACTAACATTTATTTTTATAAAATACATACTTTACCACTGAAAAATAAAATTCACTAAGATGCCCTGAACTGGAGTGAAACCAAAATCGTTCTAAAAATAGGTTACCAAAAATATTGGAAATAAATCATCTTCATAAATTTTTAATTGCTACATTAAAACTTAAACTTATATCTTATTTAATAACTGTTTGATAATAATAATATATCTAATAATGTTATTTCATAAAAAAAAAGTGCCTGCAACAAAATAAATAAAACTTATAAATATTCATTTAATTATTTTTATTTGAAGACCACATAGATGCACACACTAATAAATTTAACATTTACATAGGTTTTATGGGATATTTTGAACTTTTAAATTATTTACTAATGTTTTTAACAAGTATTTTTTTTAAATATATTTTTAACAATCCTGCCAACAATATGAGGCTTTAATTAAAAATTAATATTGTGTATTTTAATATTTAATAAGAAACCGTTTATACTTTAAATTAAGAAATAACATATTTTCATAGAATCTATTTCAGAATATCATCATAACAGTAACGTCATATGATTTTTAAACCAAAAACATACTTCTAAAGAATCACTAAGTAAAATGCTTGTTTTATAATTTGAATGGATTCACTATCATATACAAAAAATATGGTTTTATTTTTTACTTAAAATAATATCACTACTTTCATATTTTAGAGCTTGTTTATAATTAGTTACAATACGATTAATTATTTTAAATATTTATAATATAAATCATTTATTTAAAAATAACTCATTAAATATTACTAACTCATATATTTATTTCAATATCATTTTAAATTTTATCTTCGCTTAATTTTCTAAGATATAAATTGTATTCTATTGAATCTTCAATAATTTTATCAATTTAAAATCTAAAAACGTGTTACATAGCCTATGCACAAATCAATTTGTTGTGTTTATTATAGTTTTTAAATTCTGGTACATAAATATTTTCTTTGTACATCATTTTTAAATATTTGCATTGTGTTTATGCAAGATCGAAATTGTTAATTATCATTTATAGAGAATATTGGTACATCGTAATATCTTCATCAAATACATAAATTGTTTTTACTGTATTTAATAGGGTTCGTCATCGATTTCGATATCGATATCACCGAATTTTTTCATTTTCCCACGATATCAATTATTTTTTAGATTTCGCAAAAATCGAAAAAAAAATGTTTTTTCAAAAAAATTTGAATTTGGTCGCTTTTTTATATTTTTGTTAAAATATATATATAATTTGATATTAGGCCAAAAACAGTTCGTGAAAATCTTATTGACATTTATCGTATTAAAATATATTGTGAAATAAAGAATTGAGATAATACGAAAAATTATACTATTGATACAAAATCTATTTTTACATTAGATTTTTTATTATTATGTCATTGTTATTTTTTTACGAAAATGGTTTTTGTTCGCATTGTTTTCTGTTTTAGCAGGTTTTAATACTATCATCATAATGTGCTTTATTATCTTATATTTGTTTTCTTTATTTTTTTATTATCTTGAGCAGTTATGACTTATGTTAATAATTCATCTTGGGTTTCACTTCCTAATGTTAGATATAAATATGGTAATACATTGGTTTTAAAGTTGACTCAAGTGGTGTTATTTTCAATAAAACTGAAGTATCATGTCGAAACTGTTTAACAAAAATAAAATAATGTGCTAACACAACAAATCTTACTGCACATTTGCATAATTACAATAAGAATCAAACCAATAAATCTTTATTAATAAAAAAGTGTTTCACGAGCAAATATATAAAATTAACTAAAAAAAGTAAACGCCATAAAGTGTTAACTGAATGTCTTTTAAACTTTATCATCAAAGATGTACGATCATTTCATTTGGTTGAAGGTACTGGTTTCAAAGATTTTATGTGGACTACAGTATTAGAGCATAATGTTCTTAGTATTAAAACACTAACTAGATTATGTGACACATTGTCAATTATTGAAAGAGCTAATCTAATAAAATACATGAAAATATTTCTTATTTAGGACTAATAATGGCCAAACATTTATTTAAATGAATTTTTTTTTCAATTGAAAAACTACTAGACACTTTCATGAGTGTCAAAAAAAAACTTTTTTTGAGCAATTTGTTGTGCTAATTTCAAATATGCAATTAGATCTTTGCTATCACCACTAATTTTTGATATCACTACTGATTAGTAAAAACGAGTATTAAACATAAAAAAAGTAACCAAAAAAAATTGGTTAAAATGAAATTTAACAACAGCGGACGAAAATATAGATGAAACTAGGTACGTAATATATCTGAGTAAATATTTTAATTATAACATATATTTATACACCAAAAGCTACACAGAAAGGATTAGTATTTCCAATAAAATTATTTATTATGATAAATACATAAAATGTAATAAAATTAATTGTTTATGTATCCCTGTAATCACCTCAAAATTTTCATTGCTTAAAATCATAATTGGTACAATTTTTAATTTCAATATAATTAATTATTTTTTCAAAATAATTAACATTGGTACTAATTACAGAACCTTAATAAATATTAAATCAACTAAAAATAGGTAACATAGAAAAATAGTTTTCCCCAATTATATAAGATACACATCTTATATAATTATGTATATATATATAATCATATCTCAATATTAAATTTCGAGTATAGCTATAAGTAGTTTTTTTAGCCTCGATGCGAATCTGAGAAGGTATTAGTTTCACTATGATGTGTTTTTTTTGTGTCTGTTGACACTTTTTTTCAGCTTTCACTGAACCGATTTTTGATGAACAATATGTCAAAAGATCACAAATCATATCTAGTTAAAGACATTACCCTTAAAAATTGAAAATTTTCCCTTATTTCACGCAAATGTGCAAATAGCTACTAAATTTCACAAAAGTATAATATTTGCGAAAAACAAACAAACAAACAAATTAAAATAATTATTGAAACTTTAGATATTTTTCTTTCATTTGATATAATTTTTTTGAAAATCTGATTCTAAACCTGCTCACTTATTTAAAATAACAACTTTTTTTGATATAGGCCACCAATTTCTTAAAATTAAATACTACCTACAGATTTGCATCGAAGCGATAGTGATGTTAAATATCTACCAAATATCATAGACGATACTTAATATACGCATATTTACTTAACACTAGTATTTAATTTTTAATACTTATAAATCCAAAAATATGCTTACAAGTAAAATATTATAATACTTTAAATAGATTACATATATTTGTATACATTTTAAAGTATTAATTTATATAAATCACTCGATTTCTCTTACAATAATAACTATTATAAAACTTGATTTGACATTTTTAAGCTTCATATATTTCTCGATTTATTTATTTTTTAATTCATTTTTTTTTTTAAACAACTATTGACTTATCACACAAAAGACTGAAATACATATTGAAGTGTAAAAATAGTTTTAAACGTAAATAATTGATAATTCAATCTTATGTGTTATTCTAATTTTTCATTTAATGTTAACTTTGAAAACAAATTATAAGTTTCTTTTACAAAAAAATCGAAGTGTGCACTCATATATTTTGCAAAGCTTTCCTTATAATGTATAGCAAGCGTATCTACATAGTAATTTTTGTAATACGATGTTTGGCGATTAAGTTTGTTTGAATAGACACACATATTCCTCGAAATATTTGATATTTCCAAAAATGATTTATTTAATATTTTATTAAAATTAATTGAAAAATCATCACCTACTGGTAATGGCATATTAATAATAGACCATAATTTCGAAAAAAATGGGTCTGTAGTACGTATTTCATTATTTTCTTCAGGCAACAAACTTTTAAAAAAACATGCAGAATTATAAAGTTCACATACTAATTCTTTATATTCCACGATTTTCATAAGAAGCAAATTTTTTATTTCTATAATTTTGTCTTGCGTTATTTTTACATCTTGATAGATTATCTTATAACCATTTGTCATGTAAGACAGAAGTCGATTAGTTAACTTAATTTGTTCCCAACACTTACACTTTATGAATTCAAAAATCAAGTTTACCTTATTTTCATAATTAAACGAATTAACATGCAAATATTTTGACGAATGTTGTTCGTAAGGAATTTCAACTAATTGTGTAATATTCTGATCCACATATTTTATATATTCGATATTATCAAAGATATCATTAACTGTGAAAATTTTCATGGTATTGCCTTTTCCATGTTTAACTTTTATACTCTTGAGATTTTCCCATGCATCTACATTCTCAAGTTTTTCATTAAGAATTTTAATTTTTTCTTGCTCACTTAATATCAATAATAATACATTTGATGGTAGTAATTGAATTAAAATAACGATTAATGCAAAGCAACAATTAAAAAAATTCATATTTTGCACATAAGAAATTGTAAATAAATTTATTAAATTCAATGGGCACTAACACAAATACTTGTACTGAGATCCACGTATAGTTTGATATCTTTATTTAAGTGGTTTTGTTATTTAATTTAAGTGGGAATATAAATGATTTATAAAAATAATATTAGGCCAACTGTATACTTTTTTATTTATCTTTAAATTAATTTACCTACATTTAAAAAAAAAATTATATTAATATACGTTATTTATAATAGAACTCATTCTACTACATCGATTAAACTACTGTAAATATGTCACAGACATACAATTGTGTAGTATGAAATTTCACACCTTTAATCAATAAATTCAAATGATTTTTTTTTCAGGAAATTTATATACTCGATATTTAAAAAAGATAATTGCAATAATTGTAATAAAAAATACTAAAAATAGTTATAAGTAATAAAGATTACTATTCAGCTTGTTAGACTTAATAAACTTTTAACTAAATTAATTGATAAATATAAATCTAATTTTTATATTATTTTAATTTATGAAAACTTATTTTAGCTTCGATGCGAAAATTAAACTAAACAAAAAATTAACTTTTTCAACTTAACTTTTGAAAGTGTTCCGGAAAGTCTGACACTTTTATATATATATCCTTAATTAAAGCTAATGTAATATAAATTTAATGGAAAAAAAAAAAGAATTTTCACACAAAAATAGCATTTGGTAGCGATTTTCTTCACCGTGAAGACAAAATTTATTTTTTTTTCCATAATAAATTAATAATAATATAATAAAGCTTAACCAGATTTATCCATATAAACAATTAAAATTATTAATTTATATTTTTAAATTATTTATTGTCGAATTAGGTTTGAGATGATAAAAGTATTCAACTACAAAAGTAAATAATATTACTTTGTAATTGATTAACTTTTTAACTCAATATGTGTGTGCAATTACTAATCTATAATATTCCAAATTTTATTGTAATATGTTGCTATATAAATATCTAAAAAAAAAAAGATATATAGTTTCACCTGAATTTAACAATGGATTTTTAAGTAGACCTTTTTAGCAACTTTTTTTTTATTGGTTTTTTTAGATAAAGTAAATCATTAATATTAATTCAGTTCTGCATATTTCAATCGTAGAATCTTTTTAAACACCAAAAGTTAATTATAAATTATTACTATGATTTATATATAAGTGATCTATTACGATAAAAATGCAAAAAAAAATAGTGCTTTTTTGATAAATTTACTATAAATAGTAATTATAAAATTTGCTGACTGCATATTAATCTTAACAATTTCATTTTTTTCTATTTAATGATGTCGATTTCAGACTTTACGTTGAACTAGAAGTTATTGTAATAGATTCATTTTTATTTATATAAACTTTGACTTTAAAGGACGAAAAATAGTAGGCTAAAAATTATTACTTTTAACATATTAAAAATAAAAATCAATAATAATTTGAAAATAATTAATTATAAAAAATATATAATATATAATTAAAAATTATACATTATATTTTTGAATCTAAGAATTACTAATCTGGATATAATTAAGGAAATAGAAGTTAATGTTGCTTTTGTAATTATCCACCATTTTCTTAGAATTAAACATCATCTACAGATTTTTTTAATTACAATTATCATGGATATTAATATAATAACCTTTTATTTCATTTTTAAATTAATAAATTGATAAATTGATTTAAGTTAGCTTGAACAAATCAAATATTATCGTATAAAATTTGATCTAAAAACTTGGTAAAGAATTTTTTTTTTAAAGATAATAAAATTGTTCTTTGATTTTAAATCTACTGTAATATGTTAGTAGATAACTTTTATTGGTTTTGCATAGTTTCTTATATTGGTTGTTGATTTTATGGTGCATTTAATAATTTACTTGTAAAAAGATAAAAAGTTTTTAAATCCTAAATACACAATACCTGTAAAATAGAAGCAAACATGCAACAAGACGTTTATGGAAGTTAAATTTATTTTAAATGTTTATTTAGCTATATGTTATATGATTAAGAATGAAATATTTTAGAGACATCTACTTGATCCAAATGGATAAACATAACAATGTAACAAAAGTCGGAATAGAGCGCATATATTCCAAAAATAATGTTGACACTTAACTTAAAGCTTTCCCGTGTAACATGAAATTGTAAGAGCTTTTTTTAGAATAACAATATTGTTGTATCAATCATTTATGTGTAGTAAGGTAAAGAGAAGAAGGGTTTTATAAAAAAAATATAGTACATACATTATATGTCAAATCGTACCTAAAATAGTAAATTTTACTTCTGTATCCACGTTTGAACTTGAAAATTGAATAAAACATAGTTATTCTTATGTAATTAATTAAAAATATGAAGTGTAAATTTAAATAAAAGTTAATATTAAGTTTATTGTACTATTGAATATGGTGTTAATTTTAATAAAATTGTCTTAAAAACGATAAAAAATTTACTTTTTAAATAGGTTTTTAAGAATGTGTTTTAAAGTTAATTTATAGTTTAAACATTTTACCTATTAAAAGAACATATTTAAGTTTATGAATTTAACTTATTTAAAATAAATTTAAACGGTATTAAATTTTCAAAAGTTATACCTTGTTAAGTAATATTTATAGTACCTAAAAAACAAACATTACTAGTGATTTTAATAATCCGTATTTTATTTTATTATCTTAATATTACAATGCTGTGTAAAATGTTTACTTACCATACTGCTAGCACGAGGTTTTTAAATAAAATTATGTTCAAGCATTTATTTAAGTATATATATTAATATTTAAGTATATAAATTTTAAATGTTCGCAAAAAAAAAAATTGTTGTGAATTACTTGATAATTATAAAATCATTGGTAAAATTATGGAGTATAGGTAAAAACTTCCTCATGAATCAACGAAATTATAATAAAACTAATATCTTGTTATTTATTTAAGAAAACGATCGCTTCATTAAAATGATTTAAACATCTATATTAAACAAATATTTGCTTTCTTTTAATTGTTGTTCATTATAGTACAACTGAATCAGTAGTTCTGTTTGTTTATTTACAATAATTATTTCATTTATCCAAGGCTAAGTACTTGCAAATTACGTATACTTATTTACCGTACATAAATGAGATTACTTTCTTTAAAGTAAGCACCATTTCAAATGTTGTTATAATCAACTTCCGATGGTAATAATTACTGACATATTCTGTTAACGTTAACTTTTTAAATTTTAACGTGTTCTAGGAAATATATTCAATAATAATCTAATTAAAATGTTACTTATTGATTATTCAGTTATAGATTTTGCACTCCGGTAATTATTAACGCGGTCACAATTTAATTATTATTTATACGAGGGATAAGCGAAAAATTATTTTTATAGATTGGTTAACTTATAGTAACAGCGTGAGGCACTAGGGTGGCCCTCAAAAATCGAATGTCTTTTTTTTTTTACGCTACCAATTAATTTTTTTTTAATGGTCAAAAAAATGAGCTGTGCAAAATTTGGGACCGATCCGTTAAGGCTAACCCATGCTCCCGGGCCTATTAAGTTGAGTCGAAGAGTCAAATTTAATAGAAATAACTGATTTATGTTTCGTAACTTTTTTTTCTCTTAACTTAGAATTATAAAAGTAAAACTCAAGTAAAGGAAATTTTACAAGAAATTCAAAAATAATAACTTCAATGTTGTTTTCTCAATAAATAGCCCACAAAAACACTACATACAGTAAAAAACATGTAAAAGTCTTAAAATACGTTATAACTGATTTTGTTGATTTTTAATTATTTATTTTCATTTTATTTTTTGGAAAACGCATATTCGTTTAAAAAAAGATTCTAGAAGTTTAATTTTTTATGCCAAGTACGATAATTATATTAGATTTATTATTTTATGGACAGTTAATTAATGATTAATTACAAATTTAACAAAATTGATTGTATTATTACATTTTGTCTTATCAATATATCAATTTTGGTTTACTGAATTACTTTAAGATAGTATCAATTATATTATTATTAAAGATAAGTATATTTGAGTTATTTTCGACAACTGACATAATTTGTGTCGTATAAATGCAGCAGACAATTTGTGAACACGTTAAATATATTTTACCTGTTTATTATTATATATTAAATGATACGTTTTAATCACAAATGTACAATACTTTTAGCGTCTTTAAAGTATTACGAACTAATATTTATCTTATTGGTAATTATTCCCACGAAATAACTGGTAGTAAGTTACCATCAAATTTACAACTATTTAATCTGAACACTGATTTTTTGAAAATTGATCCATCATTTTGGAGTGCGAACAACAGTTACATAAATGCTTTAAATACTATAAGTAAATTACGAGTCATTAATGATACAGCCTAACGTGGCATTAAATTAATCTAAGATTACATTAAATATAAACTACAAATGAACAGAAACAATACGTTTTACAAATAGTAAGTAATTATCGGAAAAAATTTCCTAATTGTAAAAAAGTACATTATCAATAAATATATTATAATAATATAATTTAATTATTGTTAAAATATTTTTTTTAAAGTTATAATTATTTAAAAAAAAATAAATTAAAAATTGTTAATAACAATTAAATTAAACTGTTAAATTTGTAAATAATCATTAATTAACTGTCCATAAAATAATAAATCTAATATAATTATCGTACTTGGCATAAAAAATTAAACTTCTAGAATCTTTTTTTAAACGAATATGCGTTTTCCAAAAAATAAAATGAAAATAAATAATTAAAAATCAACAAAATCAGTTATAACGTATTTTAAGACTTTCACGTGTTTTTTACTGTATGTAGTGTTTTTGTGGGCTATTTATTGAGAAAACAACATTGAAGTTATTATTTTTGAATTTCTTGTAAAATTTCCTTTACTTGAGTTTTACTTTTATAATTGTAAGTTAAGAGAAAAAAAAGTTACGAGACATAAATCAGTTATTTCTATTAAATTTGACTCTTCGACTCAACTTAATAGGCCCGGGGGCACGGGTTAACCTTAACGGATCGGTCCCAAATTTTGCACAGCTCATTTTTTTGACCATTAAAAAAAAATTAAGGGGTAGCGTAAAAAAAAAAGGACATTCGATTTTTGAGGGCCACCCTAGTGAGGCACGCAATTCATAAATGGCGAATATAAAAAATTACACATCTCTTTTTTAACATGGACATTATGTTGAATATAAAAACATAAAAAGTGTGTCAAGAGTCTTATAGATTGTAACCATATACATAATTGAGAATGTTTCCTATTTTTTGCACTTGTAGTTTTATGAAACTCCCTATGAAAAGTTTAAAAGTTGTTGTAACTCCTTGAATGTAAAATCAAGGTGTAATTTTTACCAGTCCATAAAAACTACGGGAATAATATTTGTAACAGTGTAGACAACACAAATGTATAATTTATAAAGAAGAAAAGATATGCTGAGAGTTTTTATTATTCTCTGTATTTAATATGTTAAAACACCGCTTCATTAATATTACACGTGTAACACTGGGGAAAAAGAAATCTATAGACTTGTAAAAGTAAAAGAAAAATAGTCTGTAGATTATCACAATGTAAATTGAATAAAAAGTGATGATGAGAGGGTGCTAACGAACGGTGATGATATGAAAAAAGGTGGAAGGAGTATTTTAAAAAATTATTGAATATAGATTATCAAAGAGAAACATTAGAGGATATCTCGTGGAATGAGAGACTGGTAGATTTAATTAGTGAGATAGAGGTATGGGGGATTGTGGTATCAATAAAAAAGAATAAAGCAGTAGGACCAGACGAAGTGCCAGTAGATGTGTGGAAATTATTAAACGGTGTAGGCATAGGGTGGTTAAAGGATCTTTTTAATAAAATTATTTTAGAAGGAAAAGTGTCAAAATAATTGAGGAATATTGTGGTGCCGATATTTAAAGGCAAAGAAAATATAAAAGAGTGTAGAAAATTATAGAGGCATAAATTTTATGAGTCATAGTGTGAAAATTTGGGAAAATGTATTAGACAAAAGAATAAGAGGAGAAACATAAAGAACAAATAACCAGTTTGGATTTTTACCCGCCAAAAAACATCCAGATAGGATGTTATTGAATGCGATATGAGGACGGCTGATTTGTGCGTAGATAATGTGGGTGATCGTGTCAAGTGAAAGTTTAGGATAAGAGTAGCCGACCCCAAGTAGTTGGGATAAGGGCGAGGAAACACAGGAAGAATATGTTTCACAAAAATATACGAATGTTAGGGGAGTATTGGTTTATTAGAATGATATGTATAGATAAAAAATCACTTACAAGTTCAACACAAAATTATAATGGTGCAATTATATTTTTGAGGACTTTTAAACATTGTTTGTTACAGGAAAATTGCCTTGTTACTTCTATACTGAATATGTAGGACGTTAAGAATATAAGTTATTAACTCTTTTGAAAAACTAGTTTTTGGCATTCTTTGTTTCATAGAAATCCTATTATGAACTAAATTAATGGACCACTCAAGTCGTCAAAATGTCATTATTTAAAAAATAAGTACTTATTATTCATAAAAAAACATAATTTTTTTTATTAATAATCGAGCCTTAGAGTTAAAAATCATAACTTATGAATTATATCGATACAATAATTTATAATAAAACACTATTTTCAATACAAAATTCCCAAAATTTAATTTTTGTGACTTATTTTTAGTAATTAATTGGTTTAGTTAGATCATAGTGGCTTATTGACTATTATGCTATATAGGCCACTTGTATATTTTTTTGTGGGAGGTTTGACTATAACGATATGACACGGTCGGCGTATTACCATCGCACTGATTTAGAAATTACCCGGGTCAAGATATTAATACACCGACCATGTTATACTACCCTAAATCATTCACTAAAAAAAGACCCTAAACGTCTTAAGACTAACTGCGGTGTTGACATAAATACAGGTAAACGGCCGTCGACCAGTAATCAGTTTATGATAACGTTGCTTGCGATCGTGTATCATTCATGTAATGCTATCATACTAAATTAAAAATAAAAACTGTTGTTTTAATTTTGTTGTTGTTCTCTAAATTGAGTCAAACTTTTATTCAATTCGTTTTCGTTGCATACTGCTACCACGACAGATTTAAATTAATAATGTAGATATAGTTTTCATTTTCATACTTTTTTTTAGCTTAAATGATGAATAACGGTATCATATATTTAAAAAAATATGCAATTCAGTTAAATATATTCAGTAATATAGATAAGAGTGTAAGTGTAAAGTTAGTTTTGATAGCAGGCGAATTCGTGAATATGAAAACTTTTAAACGATGTCTCAATAATAGTTGCAGTAATAATAATAGTATTATTATTATTACTATTACGGTGATAGCTGTGCATAAAACTGTAAGAAAGAGGATCCATAAAAAACGGTAATATGCTTGTGCACGAAAAATCTGTGATAAAACATTTTCGTCGGCGTTGAAATAATAAATAGATCAGCTATGTACGACGGGCATGGCGACGATAAAGTTAAAGCGCATCCTTATAACGATGATATACGACACAGCACCGTAGACGATTTCCATAAGCCTACAGCATAACGACCTTTGAAAGTTTATAATACTATAACGTAGTGTGGCATCTATATGCATTGCACTACTATTAATCGAGCTCATTGATTTATTTTATTGTGAGCATTAACCATTACCATCGATATTTCATGATTAATGAACGCTAAAGTTGTAAAATAAATCACTTATCAAATAAAGGGATTTTTATTTGTGAATTTTATGTTAATATTGAACTGTGTGTATTAATACAAGTTATCATTGTAATACCTAATAATATCATTAGGTTATAAAAAAAAAAAATGTAAAATAATGACGAGTTTTTTTTAATATTGTTCGTATACAGTTTTTCTTTTATTATCCACATAACTGAACGAGGTAAACTTAGTCACAGGATAACTACCAAGACTTATAGATATACAAATGCATAAATTTGAATCTAACAAACCACACGATTCAGTTAACCTTTTATCCATTCAAAGTTTTATTAGTGTAATCGTATCAAAACTTTAACTAGAAAATAACGTGAGTTTATTGTAAAATCAAAATATTTAAAAAACTCATTTCATTTATATTATTTGACAGCTTAGTTAACTGGTATAATTTCTATATTACATGAACAGTCACATTTAAATATAACAAAATATGTAATATTATAAAGGCAAAAAAAGTTTTACATCTGCGTGTTATAATATTAAGCAAAGTATAAAAATTTGTCCTATAAGAGGTAATATTCTCTTTATTTTAAATTAAATTAGAATTATAATACTTTATGTTTACATTTGCATTAAATTCAAAAGAAACACTATTTATATTAATTTCACCGTTGCTTATATGTTAATATGCGTATATTCTTTATGAGTAGGTATTTTTTTGTATACTATGACTATATCTATTACTTGAAATTAAATTTTGAAACTTTTTTAATCCCACTAGGGTACTTTAACTCATTTTTCTTCGTTCACAAATCCAGTTCTTGCAGAAAATGTATTAAATACATTCGTATCTAATGCACGTACCATTTCTGTGCTCAAGTTTATAACTTTGTTTGATTACAACGAACACTGATTTCAGAATACAACTTGCACTTAGCTTTTGAAATGCTTTCTGAAACTTGTTAACTCATTTTATAAAGTTTGTGTATTACGAATAACGAAATAAAGGGAATTGTCGAATATAATATTAAAAATAATACTATTAGATGTTATAACAGATATTATGAATACAAAATAAAGATATCTTTTTAATGTGGAGTGATAGGACTAACTTATTTATATTTTCGATTTAACTGTTTATTTTTGATTTCTCATTTTTAAAGTTTAGTATGCTGAGGAAATATTAATATTTTAGTCAAGCACTGAGAATATTGTGAATTTTTTGGATTTATCTCTATTTATACTTTTTGAAAATAATACTTAACTTTATATTTACTAATGAGACTATACTTATAGCCTCATTAAACGTGTCACGAATTTTATGAATTGTTTTAAATTATGCGTTTCTTAATTTGATTAAAGCTTTATGAACTGTGGACAAAGACATTGATTCTTTCTGTCCACTAGGGCAGCTTCCGGACCTCCAAAAAAAATGGACGTTCGGTTGAAGTTGTTCATATCAATATATAAATATAACTATAATTATTAATTGACGTGGAGAATTTCATTGTTCAACATATCGATAGTTTCAATCAAGCTTAAAAAATATTTTATAAAAACATTGTAATATGAATAACGTTCATTTTTATACTTAAGAATAATCTTTTATTTGTAAAGTTTAGAATTTTTAATTTTTAAGTTGAATCTGATTGATTAACTCGAATTCATAATTTAAATGTGTAAAACTAAGTTGTCATATTTGGTGTTCTAAAATAATAAATTCAATTGAAAATCATAGTAAATATTCATAAGTAAATATTTAACAATTATTATGATAGTACTTTTATCGAACACTGATTTATGAGTATATTTTGAGTATATATATTCCTCACAGATATACTTAGATCATTGTCTGAGATTCATTTTAGTCTTACAATACCACTACAATTACTATGACCATTGTTTAAAGTGAAAGACCGCATACGGTGAAGTTTTAAAAATGAAATGTTTGCTACTTTATATAATTAGTTAAGGAGAACACTCATTTGATACTGAAACGCATTCTACTCTATAACATTATTGTATTATATGTAACGAATGTCATTTGGTATTCTGATTACTAGAATCAAACAACTAATATTTTTAAATTAATTTTTAGTTCCGTTAAAAAGTATTCTTATAAAGTAATAAGAAATGAGAGATTTATCTGCTCACGGGGTCATAAAATAGATAATTACTGCGCAACAGAGAATCATTTAAATTAAACATTCAAACAAATATATAGCTGGTTATATTAGATATAAGAAAACGAGATTTATCTATACATAAAAAGCAAGTTATTTTCACAAGGTAATGATTTTATTCACAAATTTTTATTTTCATTGCAGATAATATAATAATAAGAAAGTTGACTATTGATGTGTACCCATGAAAAAGGTTTTTAATAAGATAAAAACTATAATACTTACAGAAATAGAAAAGGTATTCAACCTTTATCCTTATCCTTCCCCTTATCCATTAAAAAGTAACTTTGAGCGTGACGTGACCGAGAAACGATTTCCTTTATAAAGTCTATTGGATCGGTTCGTTTTTTGGTCGAACTGATCCGACGTTTATCGGTCGCATCACGCTCTATATTATCTCACATGGGGATGTGCTTAACGTACAATACAGTTATAGGTATATCATATCCATTATCTTTTTCATTGTCGTTCCGTTTATAGAGTAAAAATTTACAAGGAGACTGTGGTTGCAACAAGTTACAACGAGTTGGATGGCAAATTAGTTCCCGAAATACGGAAGCCGTTGATCGGGTCTGACACGTACTGGTACTGTTGAAGAATTCCATTGGCATCAACATACGAGTAACCACCTCGTGTGACGCCATCGAGAGTCTTAGTTTCTGATTTAGATGATGAATCACTGGAGTAACCATACGAGTATTGTCCAAATTCATCTTGAGTATGGTACTGACTGTTTACTGGCGAATATAGTCCAGAGTATTGGTGAACATAAGGTTTAGCGGAATATGCAGTAGCGTAGGACGGGACAACTGGTGCATAACCGTAGGCAGCATAAGGAGTGGCAACAGAGTAAGGTGCGGTATATACCGTAGGGTAACCATACGGTGGTTTTGATACTTTAGCTGCCGTTACTTCCACTGTGTCAAACGTTTCTTCTGGGACAGCTTCGGATGCTTTTTTTGCTTCTTCGTAAGCTACAAGGTGAGCGGCTTTAGCTGCTACTACTTCCGGAGTGTCCTGTACTGGTTGAGGCACAGCCAAGTTATTTGAAACAATAGACGTTACGCCAGATGACTCGGGCAAATTGGTTCCAGATACTCGGTAACCATTTTCATCGGATTCATATTTGTATTGCTGCAAGACTCCGTTGGGATCAACATACGAATAAGAACCTTCGGTTAACCCATTTGCGTGCTTGGTTTCTGTTTTAGACGAGTAACCATCATTATAACCGTACGAGTAATGACCCAACTCGTTTTGTGTGTGATATTGACTCTTAATTGGACTAACCACGGGAGCTGCGGGATAGTAACCTCCATAAAACTGTGGACTTCCAAAGTATAGAGAAGGACTGGCCGAACTTACAGCCATCAGCCCAAAAGCCACCACCTAAAAAAATTATATATATATAATTTTTATAATAATGAAAAAATAATAATTAGTATTCAAGTTTTTTTTTAAGGGTTTGATTGGATTTTAAAAGGTTTGAACCGGTTTTATTTGATTAGATCTAAAATCCATATTCGTAATGATTAGAAAAACTGAATTTTCTTTGCATTTAAAGCAAAATCAATATTTTAAAACATATCTAATATCAAAGTTTTTATAATTAAATTGAACTCCTAGGTGCGCCACCATGATACTGATTGTTAGTATTAACAAGCAGTAGTTTGGTTTGGTTGGGTTGAGTTTGATTTAATAATAAACGCTAACTGTTAATTACTAGTTTTCTCGTATAATCCATTTGAACACTAATTGCAAAATGATCTTTAAACCCTTCATACAGAATAACATCGAAACAATATCTATACACGGATATTATGTTATAATGCTATAGCACGAGAACAGATAATATATACATACATACATACATGTATAATAATTATATTTTCAATTTGTGTACATCCAAAGTATTATTGATATATTTATCATTCGAAATTTATTCTGTTCAATTGGCGCTACTAATTTGTATGCATTATTCACGAGTTCAGATTAACAGCACCTACAAGAGTAGGTATTAAGTAATTAGTAGCTAGCGTAACAAACAAGAATTTGTGGATCAATTAAAATATAGTTTTTGACGCAAAGCTACACAAAAACTCATCAAAACAAATTAATTGGAAGATTTAAGGTTTACTGAACCACGTTAATTAAGTATAAAATATTTCGAGGTTCATATTATGATTAATTCACTTGTAATTAGAGTACTACGTAAGTATTATGAAATTCATTACGATTGCTCTTAAAACAAAATTCGTACTGATTTAATAAAAATCATGTTTTTGAGACTACTTAGTATCATCTAAAAGAAATAAAAATAACTATCGAATAAATTCTACATAAAACTGTAGTGAAAAATCTTTTGTAGAGGAAATTATTGTAATTAATGTTAATAGTGCTAATTTGTAAGCAATCCTTTGTATGTAAACTCAAGTCAAATAATAATGATATTACATTTTGATGGAACGTTACGTTTGTTATTGCTTCGAGTGCAAATTTCGTTTGAGTTTCGTTCAAATGGTATTATTTTGTCATAACACAAACTGTTAAATGTCGCTTAGTACTTTTGTGTCATATGTGTACTTAAGTTACAATTAAAACAAGTACCGATTCAAAAGGTTTTAAATGTCACTTGTACTTGCAAAATTCTGTTAAATGATCATTAACAGAATTGTGGAAATAAAAGTTGAACCATGTCAAAGCAATCAGACGCTAAAATGTTGTCATTACATTGTCACCAGCAGAATAATTGATCACGTTGACAATAATTCTGCCGTGTCTGTCGATAACGGTACAAAAGTTTATTAATTGCCGATACCTATCAGTAATAATATTGTGTATGGACACTAGTCTTGTTTGTGTGTCCCACATTACATTCGCACCTATACACATTCCTAGTACGGCTGCAATCCAATTTGTAAAATCGTTGCGATAGTATTCTTACAGCGACTATTATATGGGAAGCGAAGACGATTCGGCGGACGTGCCGATTGAGTGTATTGATAGGCAACAGAGAATCGGACGAAAAAGGACGTGGACCCCCATTGTGAACGTCCAATGAGCCGGTATTGTCGTCCCCACCGGTGCGTCGAGCTTGTGCCGTTAAAACCGTGTCCGGCGTCAGATCGAGCGAAAAACCTGCAATCGGACGTGCGAATCGCCAATCCAAAGGTTCGCATCTATTCTCTCGCACAAACGCAAAATAATAACAATATTATTTTAGGTCCAAACGCTGTGCACAATGACAGTGTGTATGGAGCACACACATATTTGTCGTCGGCGATTTCAAAAACGAGATGTGCGCCAACGAATTTGTCCAATAACTGTGCAAATGGAAAAACGATGCTGTGAAATGCAATCCGAGTATGGTACACATGTAAACGGCCGGCAAATAATACACAGCACAATTTCAATTTGTAAGCTGCCGGACGCTGCTCTCTATGGCCCAGTACGTGATCACCGAAAATCACCTTTGCCGCCGTTTATTAGAAATAACGTTGAATGTCTGCTGGATCCGTAACAGAATTGACCTTTGCTCGCAACTGTTAAATCTAATCATTTTAAAAGCGCTCCGTCGAACGATAATTGTTTAATTTAAAACTGAAATCACTTAACCGAGTTTTTTTTTTAATTCCTGTAGTCGCCTTGGCTAAACATTTTTTGATTTGAGTGTCAGATCGCTACTTGAGTTTAGAATGACCTTAGTATTGACACGTAATATACAAACATTATATTTAGTTAGGCGTAGATAATATAATTATTCTATTTATTATTTTTCATTGGTTAAGTTATAATGTTACCAATGGTGTATACATTAAAATGTTGCCGTATTTGTAATTGACACGATAGTTTTGTGCTACTAAAATGTGTCTAATCTATGAGAAATCATTTTCTATGACAATAGTTTATCTGCCCACGTTAGATTGTTGTCCGCATTATAAGTGTTGGCAGCTGCGCGAGTAATTGAATTAGTGCACATGGATTTTTTATCTAATAAATGTAATCTAGGACCCAAACAAAATCAATTCTGTATAAAGCATTATTCAATTTAAACGCAGTACTATACATTTCATTCAATTCAGATTGAGATTAACTGTTTGATTGTTTTTGTAAGAACTTTGTCAAAACACAACTACATTTAAGTCCATCGATAAATACTGTTTTTTTGTATTACGTGTTATATATTATATGCTATTTAAGAACATATACAAGCTATTTAAATACCTATACTCTAACAAAGAGTATCAGTATAAAAACTCAGCGAAAAAGACTGGTGAAGATTCAGTCACTATTTAAAGTAGCAATTTTTAGGAACTTTTTACTAAAATTTAGCATTTTCGTTCTCAAAAGTCAATACAATCTATTTTATTTATTATAAATATTTGTTTCAAGTAGGGAGAAACACAATTAAATTCGTTAAACTTTTACTAATTTTTTAAATCATTCAATCTGAGGGAAAATCAAATGAATATGCATATTAAGTAAAACATAATAAAGTGATTCGATTTTTATAAATTTAATTAAATAATTACTATAACCGAAACTAGATCTTTATATAAACCAAGACTAAAAAAATGTTGTATTGCACATTTTAATTTTTAAATGTATTTTTTTGTAAGTTGTGATTTAGTGAAACTAGGAGGGCTGAAATCTCAAGAAAGGATATCGAGTAGGGGAATTAAGTTAGCCCTTCCTGTCCAAAATTTTTTGTGAATAAAATTGTTTACTTTATATTTTTATAGTTATTTTGATAATATAAAATTTACGTGGTTTTACGGTAGTAAAAAGTATGAACTATATCACCATTACATATATATATATATATATTAAACAAAATATAATTCTTCAAAATATAATTCTAAATGAATAATTTTGTAAAATTATAATCGTGCAACCCCACCTAGTTAAATATACGGTNCGTGCAACCCCATCTAGTTAAATATACGGTCATCTTTCCGAAAGGGTCCAAATTCAGACCAGCGCCTTTGATAACTACGTATAAGTTTGATAATTGGTTTAAGTGTTGGCACTTTAAACAGGCTATTCAAAAAACTAATCACAAAAAAATCGAGACGAATGTAAAATAACTTTTTAAATACTTAAGTGTATTTCTCCCATAGAATTCGTATGGTTATATGCTTAAAAGTGACCGCAACACAACGTATTAAAATTAATTATTAATTTTTTAAGATGCTATATTTTTAAATGATACTAATTTTTCTATTTAAAACATGATTACAATTTTACAATGAGCTACGCCACAAATAACGAGTGTTAAATCCGCGTACTCGTTTTCTAATGATTATTTTCGGCGACCTAATGCCACTGGGTAAGTTTATTATACAATGAAACTTTTTCTTTCGTTAGAAGAAAACAAACGGCTAAGGCGAACTTGATCATTACTAATCCGTCAGGAAAATCATTTTAACGAGATCGTTTCTTAATTTGTGCGCGCGCGTTCAAGTCTCCAAAATAAATTCGGTCGCACAGAAAAATATATATGTATATATTTATTTATAGTCTCGAAATAATTTTACTCGCGGTAGTGTTAAGTTAGACTTTTTAATCTAAACTGACAGTTCATTCGCATTATAACATAGACACACACTCGACTTAAACATTTCTTCCGTCGCTACGGGCCGTGTTCGCTGTGGAACAACAACAACAACACCGTGACCGATACATCAATCGTCATTGTGTCATTTGTCACGGCTGCGTCCGTTTTTCGGATTCAATGCCGACAATTCTTCTGTGTAACATATAGGAATCTTCTTAGACGAATTACCTAGTATTTTTTTATTTAACTGCTGTCCGCGGCCAGGTCATATGTACAAATATATTTATTACACATGTCTATGCGAATCCACTACGGGTGGGCCCCTAGTATTTTTCAACACGACCGTGTGATCTAGTGCATTGCCCACTCGCGGTTATTCCACTTGGGCGACGGCGGTGCTTACTTAAAAACGCGCATTAACCAGTTTAATGTTTAATTCTTCGGTAAATTAACGATCTGTCATCGCTAACTCGTGAAAAAGTAAATAGTATTACTGCAACGTATTACACGTTGATCCGATCATCACCTGAATCAGATAATAAAATATATTATTGGCGTACACGTGGCCAAATGTTTTAAGTTAGAATAAAGTCCGGATAAAAAATGAGAGAAATATATCGTGCCGTTTAACCCAGTCAAATATCAGTCAATGGACTTGATCGCGTGTACTAATACGGGCGACAACACACAAAGTGTACAGATAATAGTTTTTTATCAATGGCGGATAAGGCGATTGGTTACGGTTAACCCCTCGAGTAAACGCTTGTGCACAAGCGTGCGCTCATTAGTTCATTAAAATAAGCTTCCGCCAGCAGCATTTTATTCGGAGTTCAAAATGTTTCTATAAAATTACCTCCTAAAATACAATAAAAAATAAAAGTAACTAAATAAATACACAATTAAACACAATTTCCTTAATCGTGTTAAACGTTTGTCATTATTTTCACTGTTCAAGGATAAAAATATTTTTTTAGTTGACCATTGTTATTACCTATAATACTTTTCATCTCTTCGCAGAGAAGATGAGAAATTATATTTCCAGTAGAACAAATGGAAAAAAAAGATGGTTATTTTTTTGTGTAAAATTTGCACTTGGATTGTTTAATAAGATAACATTCACAAATATATTATGAGAGTTGTAGTAAGCCCAGAACATTGAATAATTTTAAAATACTAACATACAACATATTATTGGTTTTATTATTACTAATCTAAATAACTACTTACAGATTATAGATGACAACAATATGATATAATTTCGTTAATTTTCAAATTTTAAGCAGTTTTTTATATGTATCATATAAATTATTTTTCTTATTAAAAACCTAACTAGGCGATCAATGTTTCAGCCAATAAAATATTTTTTTTACAGAACAGTGAAAAATGTATTCATTTAATGTTTTCTAATAATTTAAACGTTCTTTTATGGTTAGTTATTTTTTCGTTCAATTGACTTTTAGTGTTTACTTTTCGGGCGGATACAACTTTTATCTCTAAGTTTTATTAGATCTTCTGTAAATGTCAAAATCAATTTTGAATAACAACAGAGTTTTTCACATACTATGAAATATCCTAAAGGCTTTTGAAGGCGTTTTAAATGTCGTAAATAAGTCAGGAGTATTACTCGAGAGACGGCAGTTACTCGACTGTATTACTAGATGGACGTTGGGAAGATAAGTTTTCACAAAGTATATAATAAAACCGGACTAGGACGTGAAAAACAACAGACGGAATGACATGTCGGAAAAAGGATAAAACAATTTTCTGGCGTCGTCGTAAAATCAAAGGATCCCATAAAAACGGCCCCAGTCGTTAAGTGTATTATAAAACATCGGGCGGTTTGTGTGTGATGGTTCTTAGTGACCGAACACAGTAAAATATGATAGAGACTCACCAGAGTTGTGTGCATGTTGATCGGTTTGGTACTTGGACGTCTGATGCTGGTGGTGTTATCGCTGCTGCTCGTGCTGTTGCGGATCACAAATAATGGTGAGGACCGCCGGGTGCCGGCCAGTTTATATATACCGGTCGAGATCCGCAGCGCGCGCCTCTTTTGCTCTTCCAATGTCATTGCCGTTCTTCGTGTGCTCTCTTTCGTCCCGGGGGAAGCGCGTTGGCCGTGCTCGAGTTTCGCATCGTCACCGCGACTCTTCGTGTACGCCGCCAAGGTCGTGTGATAAGCTCACCTGGGACGGACAACGCCTTTCCAGTAATGTGATCTTGTGATTGACATAAATGCCAAACGATGCACGAAAATCGTATGACACGTCTCACGTTATGCGCGAGTGTTGGCATAAGTTTTTTTTAACTAAAAAACGGGTTTTATTACAATGAGTTATCACTGTTACACAGTGTTATGGTTATTTAAACTGCGAGTGAAACTATAGACTTAAATCGTGATGCACTCCGATAAACTCTTAAGCTCAAGTATTAAATTTACAAACTCTTGTACATGACACCTGTCGAAACCTAACTAATGAGTGTTTACAAAATTAATTATTCGTATGCTTCGATTAAAAACAAGAACGATAAAAAAATATAATATTAATCCATTAAATCATATTTAATGAAATTAATGTTACTTATATTTTAAATTGGGTAAATATATTCTAAATTACATATAGGATAAAAATATATGTAACAAATTACACTAGAAAAATTGATTTTTCTATTTTATGAGTTTACTGGTAAAGTTTACCAAATTTTCAAGTATAAATTTATGTTTTTTAAGGAGCAGCTACTTTGGTTCCAAAAAACAAAGATGATGTTAGGTTTTTTGTAAATTAATCTTATTAATTATCAACAAAAAAGTATTACGAAATATGAATTTATCATTATTACAATGTAACGCATAAAGTTCAATCATAAAAATATCAACATTTCTTCAAAAATTAACTATAATAGAAAAAGTAAAATAAAATAGTATAAAGAAATAAATGATGCTATATTTTTAGAAAATTTCCTAAATCAATATAATTCCATTTACGTCGATAATTGCTTGGTATAGAGGAAACTAAATTTTATACAAATCTTCTATTGAAATACTTATAAGTTCACTTTTGAAGTTATTATGTGTCTCCTTGTTGTTATCTCCATTTACTTTCATTAATTTTCTATGAAATGTATATCTAGTGATTGAGGATATTTAATTGATTAAGGTCTATTGCATGAAAACGATTATTCTGTTATTTGGTTTCTATACTTTTCCATATCTTGTTGGAAAATAAACTACTCTCTGAGTATAAATTTATTAAATTATAATATAGCGATGTACACTATTGAAATTATACTTTTGAAAACAAAGACTAGATTATCTATACCACTTGCTGCCATACAGTACCAAAACATACCATTCCCTACGCTATGTTTTAGTGTGATCATTAAATTCTTTATTTGTAGCTGCTTATATATTTTTCACCTGAAATTTTATTGCATTTATCTATAACTCTAATGCTATAAGTGTATATGTCTTCTACGATTACTATATCTTGAAGATAAAATTAATGACTTATCAATTAATATTTTAAATTTCAAATATTGATTTAATATACTGAAAAAACAAAAAAAAAAAAAATTTATCTATACTTTTTGGAGCGATTGTATTAAATTTGCTATGCTATATTAAATTGTTAAAAGTGATTTTGTAAAATAAAATCATGTTAATATAATTAACTTAATATATTATTGATGGTAGTAAATAAAAATTATTCGCTTTAAACGCAACGTTTACTGAACTGTACATAACACGTTGTTAAAAGACGAACTTAGTTATGTTCCAATATGTGTATTGGAGCTTAGATGGCCTCTTAATATTATTTATTTGTTTTTACAAGTAAATTGTTGAAATTGTTTTGTTTCTAGGAAAATCGTATAATAAAATCCAATAGCCTTGTAATTTATGAACAGACAAATAAAGTTGAGAAACTGTAAATTGTATTGTAAGATTATTGTTTTCTCCTGTACGAGTTTTGTAAGTTTTGATTTAAGAGTAAGTGACGTAAGTCGTCTAGAGCAAAGTGTATTATTAGATTTTATTTTATCTCTCCGTGTGCTTAATTAAAGACGACGTATTGTAGAGGAACTCCATTTCACATAACAGTTCTCAATTGTAGTGTGTATGCGAAATTTTGCAGAAATGATTTCTATTGATTTAATCATATTGTTTTATAGAAATTAAAATGACGTATGCAAACAACTTTTATTATTCACGAAAATTACGTGGATAATTCTTTAGATCAGCGCTAGATATTAAATTTATAAAAGTTAAGAAAAATAAACCAATTTTCAACACATAAAAAAGATCTAAATAAAGTAATAATATAAATATTGTTTCTATGAAATTTAACAGCTGCAAATTGGCGCTATTTCATTAAAAAACCGACAATAATCTATATTTTTAGTATTACAATTGAATCTAGAACTCAAAGTGTCAGAGAATACTATTTTATACAAATAGTTCATATGTACAAAGACTATGTGTAACCAAATAATCTTTTCAATATATATTTTTTTATTTCTAATATGGGATACCTTTTGATATCGATTTTTTAAATTATGGTGAAGCTTGTGCAGGTTATGCTCTTAAGCGCAGCGCCGTGGGGGAGGACACATTTCAAACACTCTAACGTCGGCCCTGATAATTTTACTACACACCAATAGACATTTGCAGTATAATTCATAATGAACATAATATTTTTGCATTATTTGAGCATTATCAAAGAGTTTAAATTTTAATAGGATATAAAAGTGCTGCATGTACAGTGCAATTATCTGCAATTGCACTTCATGCAATATATTTAAAAGTATAAAACATATAATATTTTCCTTTCAGGAATTAATAATATTCTACATTTTATAATTTTCAAAAAAATGTAGTTCCATCTTCCACTTTCCCACTAGTATCAGCTTAAGTTTTTAAACGGAAACATATATTTAACTAGCTTACAAATAAATAAATTATCTAACTTAGAAAATGATCGGTCATTAACAAATTTTAAGCCTCAATTTTGGATGTTATTAAAACTTTACTGTAACGACAGGAAGTAAAGAGCAGGTCTGTTATTTCTATTTCAAGGCGTTCGTGGACCGCACTACTTCTTCCGCCATAGTATAAAAGTGTTAAAATCATTTAAATTATTGTTTCAAATGTTGTCATTGACTAGACATTTTCTTAGTTAGATTTTGAAAATCTTCAAATCAAGTAACACATATAATAAATTACAAAATTCCTGAATAGATCGATTTATCACTTTTTTTATTATTTACTCTGTTTTCAAAAAAGAATATTATCATAAATAATTATGGTGTTTACCTATTGCTTTGGTGAAAAAGTGATTACCGTTATTAAAATACATTTAATTGATTATTTATAATATCAAATCACAACATTAAGTTTCAACTGGCGAAGTTATACATTGATCTAGAACTTAACCAGGCACAGTGTAGCGTAGCCAAGGAGGGTCTAATGTGGCTTTACCCTATTGGCTAATTATTACTATTACAGTATATGACTTTACTGCTAGTAAGAGTATAAAACAAGCTTAAAAAAATCTTTAGCCCCCCTCCAAGCAAAAATCCTAGCTACGTCACTGTCTGGATATATGTCAGCACTGGCTGAGCAAAATGTAAAAGCAGTGACATTAATTAATATCTGTCACGCTTTCAATTCTCCACCCTTTTGTAAACGTAATTTCGTCTTTCTATTAATATTGTTGTAAGGCCGAACCCATCCTCTGGGGTTTAAGTAGTTTTCCGAAAGCTCAATGTTTCTATAAGCCTTTGGAATTTGTCGATCGTCAGCTATCTTGAAATTGTTTCCGTTGTGCGGTTCGTCTTTTTACTATGGCTGTGAAATCAAAATAATCGTTTCTTCTGTTTTATTTAGTTGGAATAAACAAATAAATTGTTCGTTGTCGATATTGTTAAATAAATGCTTTGGGTTAAATAAAACACAATATCATTCAGGTATTATTTTATTTCATCAAATTACGAAAGCAGTTTTCATTATTTCAATAATTTATAAACATATATATAAATATCATTAATTTATTGAATAGCATATGTAATGAATATAATTAAAAAATGAATGTTTAATAAATATCGTATACCATATTTCATATTTACAGTATTAGAAAATCAAAACTTTGTTATCTGGAATTCTGTTTTCATTGAATATTTCAATTTACCGGATAATAATAATGGAGAATAATGAAGTACATACAAAGTAATTTTAATAAAGATTTTCTTTTTTTTCTGTTAAACAAAATATTAATGCAGTTTACCTTGTTGTTACAGTAATATTATGACAATGAAGAGCAAGCAATGTACTAATTTGAAAATTTATAACGTGTACTTTTTTAATGCCTTTGAGTCATTTTAATAGTAATATATTTTTTAAATTAAAATTGTACTTTATTAAAAATTACGTGTAAAAAACCCTTATAAATAAAAAAAATTGCTTAATCAGTATAACAGTTATAAATTAAAGTGATATATAATTTAAATTGTGTATTTTTTTTACTAAATATATAAGGTTTAATTTAATTAAACTTTATACATCAAATTAATTAAATTATTGTTTTCTTCATAATAGAAATAAATGCTTTTGTGATCCCTCAGCGATGTAATGTAATGTCATAAATATTAAGCGATTAAAAAATATGAGTTATATTTTTAATATCTTTAAGAATTAACTCAAATTTATTTTTTTAAATTAATCAAATAAAAGAACTTAGTGAATAAAAGAATTATTTTAATTTGTATGTGTTAATTAGTTATCCGTATTAACAAGATAAATGTGATCTAAGCAAAATCACTTAAAATTTCATATTATTTACTTGGGATGAAAATGCAATGCTTACATTAGTTTATTCTTAATAAAAAATGATACATAAAAAACTTTTGTAATGCTTTAAAATCAACAATAATTTTCATTAATTATTACAATAAACCACAATATTAGTATTTGTATAACACAATGTATTTTTACATTAATAATTATGATTTTTTTATATAATAATATTAAAAGTTATTTATTAT